GCTGGAAGATGTTCCAATGTCTAAACATCAGCTCTCTCTGTCCAGCATTGAAGACATACGTATCAAGTTGAAGAGGAAGCCCAGGGCATCAAACGAGATTTTCTGAGTGTTACACATTAGTCTAAAGTTGACCTAAACTTATTCCCATGGAAGTTTCTATTAAACAAAAGCTAACACAAAGAACTAAAAAACAGAGCCTGGAGCAAAAGGAAAAACAAAGGGATAAAACCAAGATTACAGATGCATACTCTGAAATTTGGCAGCTGTTAGGGATGGACAATAAAGTAGACTGAAGTTCCCAAACATCAAAGCAAAAAGAAAACACATTTAGTGTAAAACTTAATGTCCTGAGACAAAAAACAAACAGTGGCAGGGAAGAAAATCAGCTCTACTTTGTATTAAGGCTAAGAAAATTTACTGCCTCTGATGTAACACAGCAGTAGTAAACAAGTCTCTCAGAATCCTCTTCGATGAGTTTTAAAAGGACCTCACTTGTTGATCTGGCCTGACTGGGGTTGTGGAAATGGTAGCAACACAGACTATCTTGGTGTGACTCACTGCAGGTGATCTTTCATAAAATTCTGTCTGCGTGGTGAGTTACAACCGAGCTGCCGACCAAAGTGCAGGACATATGAGTATGAGGACATACCTGTTGACTCTGTACCAAGAGCAATCTTGCCAATTACAAGGCACCCCTGCTTCTGTCTTTGGATAATCAACCCTAGGGCAAAGACGGGATTTTATCCTCTTAGTGAAAACCAAGGTGGTTGATCAGGGCACAAGCCACTACCTTGAGGTTCCAGTATTTACAAAAACACTCTGATGCCTTCTGAGGCAAACACAGGACGAACTGCCAGACGTAGCCCCAAACACCCAGTTGTTGATAGCTGAGGCTTGAATCTCACTACAAAGGAGGCTCCCTCAGAGAAACTTTCCATTATCTTTAACCTATGTTGCTGTATTTCATGGCATATAGTCACGGCTCCCATCACAGTTACAGGGTTTTGATAATTCCAACTGAGTCTTTGGGAAGTACTATTTTCCCTTGATGAAGTTATTTCAGGAACATGGTTTTTCATAGAGCATTATGTCCCTACCTCTTTGTGTTAAGCCAATGGGTTTTCACTGGACACTTGGCTTGTACATAGCCCCTTCCTGCGAGAGTCATCAGAACACAAAGGATCTGATAAGCCTCAATTCCAGTGCATGTGAGTCAGAAGATACCTGAATATAACCTCTCCATCTTTGCTGTTTTCTCAAGTTCTTCTGGACATGTATGCTGAATTGGAAGTGATTACAGCAGCCTCAAAGAGCCATTTTTAGTTCTTCAACTGCTGTTAGGACAGGAAATTGTATACCCAGTTGTTAACCCCCTTTAGGTAACTGCTGATTTGTTGAATTCCAAAGGTATTTGACCATGAAAACTGTGTCACCAGGGCTTCTGGCATCAGCTTCAACATGGATAGAGCTTGGACATCAACTCTCCAACACTTAGAATAAAAAGCTGGATGAGCTGAGAAATGACTCACGCCAGCAGCAGGCATTTGGCCTATTGGTTAAGATCCCTGTGCCCCACACTGGAGTGTCTGGGTTTGATACATGACTCTGGCTCCAGCTTCTAATGCAGACCCTGAGAAGCAGTGTTGATGGCTCAAGGAACTAGATTCCTCCCACTTCATGTAGGAGACCTTGAGTTCTTGGCTGCTGGCTTTGGCTTGGCCCAGACAAGGTCGGTGCAGGCATTTGGCAACTGAACCAGTGGAAGATGGCCCAAGTCCTTGGGCCATTCTTCTGGGGAAACCCAGAAGAATCTCTTGGCTTCTGGCTTCAGATTGGCACAGCTCTGGCCGTTGTGGCCAATTGGGGAGTGAAGAAGTGGATGGAAGACCTCTTTCTCTGTGCCTCTCCTCTCTCTGTATAACTCTTTCAAATAAATAAATATTAAAAAAAAAAAGAAAGAAAGTGAACCAGTGGACCAGTAGATGAGAGCTCTGTCTTTCAAAAAAAAAAAAAAACATTTTCTTTTTTAAAAAATATTTATTTATTTGAAAGTCAGAGTTAGAGAGGGAGAGACAAAGAGACATCTTCCATCTGCTGGTTCGCTGCCCAGCTGGCTGCAACCCCCAGGTCTGGGCCAGGCTGAAGCCAGGAGCTTCATCCAGGTCTCCCACACAGTGGCAGGGTCCCAAGCACTTGGGCCATTTTCCACTGCTTTTCCCAGCTGGACTGAAGTGCAGCAGCCAAGATACAAACTGGCACCCATATGCGATGCCAGCCATTACAGGCAGCAGCTTTATCAGCTATACCACAACACCAGCCCCAGAAAACATTTTCAAAAACTGACCCATCATAGAATTGAGGCCACAGGTTCAAAGACCAAACCCAGAACTGGAGAGAAAGGCTTATTCACTGTCATAGCCAAGATTTGCTTACATGGAACAAAAATCAACCACGAGCCCTGCTCTGAACGTCTCCACGGTAATGGATGAGTTGCTGGAAGCTGCTCCTCTTACTCCATTCCCTCTGGTCTTTTCACGAGACTCTGGGAGAAAAAAAAGAGTCAAACAACAGGGGTTAAGGCTGCAAAGAAATAGATTGTGAATGCTGCAGCCAGGGAAAGAAGTAGGGGATGGCTAAAGGGAACATTTAACGCCAGGCTGCTGCTGCTTCTTCTTTTTTTTTTGACAGGCAGAGTTACACAGTGAGAGAGACAGAGAGGAAGGTCTTCCTTCTGTTGCTTCACCCCCTAAATGGCCGCTACGGCCGGCGCGCTGCACCGATCTGAAGCCAGGAGCTAGGTGCTTCCTTCTGGTCTCCCATGCGGGTACAGCGCCCAAGAACCTGGAATCCTCCACGGCCTTCCCGGGCCACAGCAGAGAGCTGGACTGGAAGAGGAGTAGCCGGGACAGAATCCGGCACCCAACTGGGACTAGAACCTGGGGTGCCGGCGCTGCAGGTGGAGGATTAGCCTAGTGAGCTGCGGCGCCGGCCAATGCCAGGCTTCTGAGTGTCAAGTCTGGAGATACAGGTCTACTGAAAGACTTATCAGGAGGTTTTAAGACAACCTCAACCCACTCACCCCGTACCTTACCACCATACCTGTGGTCCTCTAATGTGAAAACTAGTGGATTAAACAAGCTGCAAGACACAGAATCTGAGAGGCCTACTCAACGTAGGGGAGGTCAAAGTTAAGAGGGGTGGTCAAAAAAGTGACTACAGGAATCTGGAGCCTCTGGCACCTACAGCGACACCAAGCACTGAATACAGCCCAACTCTCAGACTAACAAATCCTCACACAAAAGGCCTATTTACCTCAATTCCTATCTCCCAATACAGTATATTCATCGTTCACCAACAAAATTATGAAGCGTGCCGAACTCCAAAGATACAAGTATCAAAATGAGACCCAGATAAGGCACAGACATCAGAATTACCAGACAGGGAATTTAAAATCACCAATCATCACTTTAAATGTGAAAGAGCCCTCTAATAAGAGGGATCACTTCGTTTCCTTCTGACTTGCACCCTGAACTAGAAGCCACATTATTTATGATACCAGCCAGTGAGTAGGAAAATCAACAGTTTCAATTTGTTCAAAGAAAGAAGATAAAAGGAGATCAGTATGAAGCAATCCAAGCCACATGTTTTCTAATTAATTCAAAACCCGGTTGACTTTCTGCATGTGGTGTTCACATTAGGACTGGCATGCATTCTCATTTTATGTGGTACTGACTACATTTATGAGGTATTTATCTAATTAATCAATTTTGAAATGTGCTTGGGATACAAAGAAAGCAATGATTAGGAAACTGGCAAAATTCTCAACATCTCAAGATGTAAATTTCCTACCATTTCATCCACAGTCAGGTTTGTGCCCTTAACTACCCCCAAGGGCAGCCTTCTCTCAGTGCATACTCTTACCGTGGGCTTTAGGAAGGCTGACAATATTGGTGGAGCAGGGCAGAAACTTGGATCCCAGTTTCACCAATTACCAGTTGCACGCCCTTGGGCAAGTTCTTTAGTACTTCTGAATCACCTTGGTGGGTGGTTTATGTGTAAGTTGGAGGTAATACCTACCCCTTGTGGCTGTGTGAGGGCTAACAAGCAACACACTTAGAGTGAACCAAATGAACGGACGCTGTGGCCTACGGCCTTAGCTTAGGAAACTAAAACACACTCTGGCAGTTGTTACCAAGTGTACTACAACTGTCCAGAACACAAGGGTGATTTCTCTTTGTCTTTCTTGGGATTTGCAGACTAGAGAGCCACAAGACACTGTCAGTTCAAGAATCAGCAGTCAGGCATGAAGATCAACCAGCAGGGTGGATGTCTTGGTACATACATAGTATGGAAACTCATAATAATAAATTTTTCATGTTATTTTTCAACTTTCTTAGAAAACCAAGAAACTAGTTTTAGCAAGTGTTAATTCATTTTTAGTGACTCAATTTACATTCCCTTTCAATCTGAAGCACCTGGTTGCACAGCTAACTACAGACTCATCCTAGCATGTCATACCCAAGTTTTCTTTGCCATATCAGGATTAATAAAAATCTTTCTCATTTTTAAAAAGTTCTTTTCCATGACTGCTGATTACCAAAGTACTAATACTCTATCTTTTCTGATTCACTTTTCCTTTCCATCTAAACTGGGAGAGCTACATTACTTCCAGTTACAGGGAGAAAAATTAAGTTACTAACTTGGTTAAGAATTCAGGAATTCAAAATTATTTATAAACAATAGTTTACAATTTGAATTTAACATCTCTGTACTTCTTTTAAAATATACTGGAAAAAAGAATACATCCAATCTGTAAAGGACAAAAATTAGAATTCATTCTAAGAATCCCAAGGAAAAATTCAAAACCAGATGATTACTAAAAGATCCTGTGTCAAACATGCAAATTCAGTGAAGCAGTTGTGAAGCTGGGATCCCTGTCTTGCTTCAACGACTTCACTTACTTCTGTGGAGAAATGCGAACACATTAGTCGTAAGAGCCATTTATTTTAAGTATCAGTTTTTATTAAAAAGTGCATTTTGATTAATTTATGGTCTAGATAAGCTGTAAGATATCAGTATACTCTCTGGAATAATAACTTTACAAAGATTTTAAACAAACAAAATTTTAAAAGCCTTTTTATTTCCTTCACCATTATTGTTTTACAATACAAATATCACCTTGTGAATACACAAAAAAAAACCCCTACAGAAGATAATTCTGTTGCACATAAAATACAGAATGGATATATATACTTCTTCATTCTTAAAAAACTATTGTGTTCTCCACATTGGCAAGTATAGAATAGAATACTTCCCCAAACATACGCATGTTAGGAGTGAAACTTAGAATTACATGCAGTTTCTGCACAAATATATTTTAAAGAAATAGATCTCTGTTTTGTTGTTCACCAACAAAATTGCCATGAGTGTATGGATAACTAATTCGTAGCTGTCAAGTTTTAGGTAAGTGATCATTTTCAAAACTCTCTTTAAAAAAAAAAAAAAGATATTCATGGCTGTTTTCATTGTGTAGTTAAAATCAAACTAACTACCAAACAGATGACAAAATAATTTAAGTGGTACAATGTCATTGCCACCTGCTCACAATATGTGAACAGGCTCTGATTCTTTAATTAATATCCCCATTCTTTAATTCAGAGCAATTTTAAAACCATAAGCAGTATTTGATTAATTTAGCTATAAATGCAAAATTTAGTAGTGTATACATACATTTATGTTTTCATGGAATACTTTATTTTAAATAAAAACATTTAAGATTGCCTACTGACCATACAATCAAGACAAGAAAAGGCACTAGAAACATAGACAAATTTCTCTCCCAAGAAGCATTTTTATATTTTAACTCTCTTCTCTCTGACAAGTAAAAATCTTTAAATTTGGTTTTCATAACATCATTTTGAAAAATAAAGTTAGGAAATACTTAGAAAATCACTTTATAACAGAATCTTTTTTTTTTGCACTTTTTTGACACACTATCTGTATTGATTTTACAAAACCCAAAGTTACCATACCTTTCTGTGTCTGTCATTTTTATTTGAATATCGGTGCAACAGGTAGAAAGATTTCAGAAGCGAACCCCATTCAGGTACTTAGAAACCTTCATAGAGACATTTGCTAGAAAATGGCTTACAGCCCAATCTTTGGGGCAAGAGATATGAAAAGTATGTTTTCCCAAGAAAATAATACGCTTTATTTCCAGATGTGACTGGAAAGACCAGAACTTATGATATAAAAGCTTACATTTATGCTGCTGCATCATATACAAAGGAACGTGGTGGTTGTGGGTTATTATGCAAATCCCAGACTATGAACAGGAAATGTGTACAGTGCATGATAGGTTAAATTTTCTTTATTGTTGTCCAACGCAGGTCCTTTGGAGAGAAAAAAAGATCACAGTGCTGACCAGGTAACTCGATAGGTTAAGTCAAGGTAACTGTTGAAAGGTAACAGGATAAGGGAGGTGTTTGTTTATGGCATCTTCTCTCATGGAGTTCTTAGCACTTCGGACAGTTCTTCCCCGATGTGTACAGCTGTTACGTGTCGTTCACCAGTCGGCTGTATTTCACTTGCCTACTGAGGTGCACCACAGGCCAGGGAAAGGGCCAATGGTAAGATCGAGGTACAATTCCTTGGACATTCTTTTCAAAGTACTGAAATGGCCTGTACCACCACACCCTGGCCAGGAGGTTCATCTGGGAAGCTTCCTTTAGCACCTAAGATAATAAAGAAACAAATCTTTTGCTTCAAGTTTAAATATTTCCTCTGTTAAAATTCACAAAGGACCGCAGACCTGTCCCATGCTCACCAAACAGCTTCACTCACATTACCACCATTCTGCCGTTCTCAGTGCTCATCCGGGAACTGAAGCCACACCACAAACAATCCCAACTCTCGGAGCCCAAGGAGAACTCGTGACTCACTTACCTGGCCTATCAAAACCTTAGCTAGCTTCTTATTTATTCACTTCCTATACTAAATATGGAAAGACTTAATTGTTACAGTATTATACTGGTGAGGGGACCAAGGTAGAGAGAAGAGGATGGGAATGGAAATCAAGCAATGAGTGGACATGGGCTTAGAAAATATTTTTTCATGGATAATGAAAGTGACAGTATTTTTTTTTTTTTTGACAGGCAGAGTGGACAGTGAGAGAGAGATACAGAGAGGTCTTCCTTTGCCGTTGGTTCACCCCCCAGTGGCCGCTGTGGCTGGCACACCGTGCTGATCCAAAGCCAGGAGCCAGGTGCTTCCTCCTGGTCTCCCATGCGGGTGCAGGGCCCAAGCACTCAGGCCATCCTCCACTGCACTCCCGGGCCACAGCAGAGAGCTGGCCTGGAAGAGGAGCAACCGGGACAGAATCCGGCGCCCCGACTGGGACTAGAACCCGGTGTGCCGGCGCCGCAAGGCGGAGGATTAGCCTAGTGAGCCGCAGCACTGGCCTTGTGACACTATTCTTGAAAGAAGTAATCTCCTATTTCGTTATATTAACACATTTTTTCCTTCTTGATTCAGAAGAGGATCCGTATTGCAGAGGACAATATATCTGTAGTTGACAACACTTCAACAAACACTTAAGACATCTGCAGATTTGTTTGTGTGTCCTTACCCCCACCCCTTGGCCCAAGCAGGGAGTAAGAGAAGTTAAAATCTAGTGGGGGAAAAACTCACTTGCTGATTGGCCATAGTGTGATACCACCAGAAGAGTCTCGTGGTGATATAGTACGCCACCACCACGTCCACAGTGTAGTGGTCATGCGCTAAGAGAATACAGAAGATTCCAACTACGCTGAGAAGCCAGCAAATCCAGTGGTACCACCAGAGTCGTCGGGGGGAATCTGAAAAGAGGAGACATTTGCAATAGTCCCATTAGTCTAATAATGCTAAGGGTACCCAGCCATACCCCTACTATGACTTCTGAATCCAATTACCTTGAGTCTTTGCTTTTTCTTTTTTAAGACTGATTTAATTATTTGAAAGGTAGAGTGACGGAGTATGAGAGTGAGAGAGAGAGAGAGAGAAATCTTCCATCTGCTGGTTCATTCTCCAAATGGCTGGAAAAGCTAGGTCTGAGCCAGGCTGAAGTGAGGAGCTAGGGATTCCATCCTGGTCTACCATGTGGGTGACAGGGGCCCAAGTACTTGAGCCATCTTCTGTTGCCCTCTCAGGTGCATTAACAGGAAGCTGGATCAGAAGCAGAGTAGCCAGGACTTGAACCGGCATACAGAAGGCTGGCATCATAAGTGGCCACTTAACATGTTGCACCAAAATGCTGGCCCCAGATCTTTCCTTTTGAAAGCATACTTCCTGGGCTAGCAAATCTTCAGGGATTTCACTTATGCATAACCACGGTTAGAATGTGAACAACTTTTTTGCATAAAATGATTTCACTAGAAATAGTAATTAATATTTGGTTATTACTTTATTCACATGATAAATATAGTTTAAAGATGAGCCTAGCCAATCAAGGACATGACAAACCATGCTCCATTAAAAAACAAACAAACAAACAAAAACTGTTTTACCTGTAGCTAATTGGAGTTAATGCTCTATATAAGAATCAAAACCTATGAGCCCATAGAACCTTATACATGGACAAAGCAATTATAAATGATTCAATGCTCTTATCTTCTTTCCAAGTTGTGGAGCCTCATACCAACCTGAAGGTCTTTGAGACTTCCACATCTCAAATACAATTAGAAGAAAATGCAAATGCCTAAGAATTTTAGTCCAAAAGAGTCTTCCCAAAAAAAGGACACTAATAGATAAGTATTTGTCTGTACCCCCTTTTGGGAGATCACCTGAGAGAAGCAACAACATCTCCATCAGTACAGGCCTTTCTACCTTGCATTTTCTATGGGTAGGGATTCAGAGGGCCTGAAGTTTTTGGCCACATGTTAGAATGCCATCTACCCTGCCCACAACAGGGGAGAAAGTTTCAGTTTTTCTTGGGTTCTCAAGGGGTACAGGAATCAAGTCATTCCTTCAGTCACTAGTCAGCAAGCATCTACCATAGATCAGGCACTGCTCTGGGTACATGGATCAGTGAGGAAGAAAAAAAGAAAAAAAAAAAAAAAAAAAACGTGCAAAGAGCCTGCCTATGTGAGGAGATCCCTTCCTGGGAGGGAAGACAGGAGATAATGATTACAATAAATAACTAAATTGTATACAATATTAAAAGTTATTAAAAGCTTTGGAAAAAATAAAAAGTTGAGTATAATCAGGGGGATCAGAAGTAGAACAGGAGAAGCGCAGTTTGCAATGTTCAATGAGGTGATGAGGGCAGGAATATCTTCCAGGAATATTGGTATTGGGTACCTTACCGATACAACAACAAAGGACACTCATTCTTTGAGCAACTCTCCTGGTGTTCATATAGGCCATCTATTTTAATCTTAGTCCTCTGAATCTCTCTCCATCCATGAATAACTCATTCTAAAGATGAGGAAACCAGGACCTAAAGAGGTTCAGGTCTTTTTCTGGGGTCACACAGTTATTACGGGATAGCACCAGGATTCAAAATCAGTTATGTAACCCACTGCCTCTGTGTTTCCCGGTGTAGCACACTGCCTGACCATCAAGAAGGTTAAGCTTTGACCCCACTGAAGGACTTCAGGTATCAACCAGCAGGGACAGGAATGCCTTCCCAGGGTTGCTGATACCTGGCTCACAGCTTCCATTTTCCACACCAGGGTACATATGATACACGGGCTAGCTAAGCCCTAAACATTCTGAATGGACATGGCTAGAATTCACTCTATTTGGTCATCTATTGCCCTTCTCTCTCTCTGTGTCTTAAATCCCACATGTTCTCCTCTTTCTGTGTTCCCTTACCTTAGTTTTTCAAGACCCAAACTGGGCTTTCACCTGGCCTTTCACCTCTGTCCTCTGCCCCCATAGTCCATCCTATTTTGTGCTACCTGTTGGATCTTCTTGGTCAGTCTCTCTCAGGACCCCTACTTCTCTCTAGCCTGATGCCATCATGCTAGGTCAGTCCATTGCCTTCCCTTCCCTTGATTACAGCAGCAACAAATCTCCTAACTTTTCTCCTGACCTCCTGTCTCACTTCTCTCCAAACCACCCTTAAATCTACTGCAACAGTGCTGTCCTCTCCTCTCTCTGAAAGACAAATAAGGCGCCACTGATCCTCTACAGGCACCGTTTCTATCACATGGCAACTCAGACTCCTCATGGCTTAGGATGCCCTCCACGACCTGGTATTCCTACTTCCCCCTCCATTCCCATTCCTCAAAATGATCCCTACACCACATAAACTTCCAGAAAGTTCCATATACTCCCAAGCTACCTCCAGATTGCAATGTGTGCCTTACTTTGTGAGCAAGCCTAGAGCAGCCTGGTTTAGTTTACTGCTGTTTGTGGAAATGGACTGTATAAGGCTCATTAGACTGTTTTTTCACAGTAATGTCGAGAACAACTGAATTTTCTACACAGTGAAAATACCAACAGCAATTAAAATGCAAAAACCAGAATCTCAAGTCTCAAAAACATGTTTTAGGAGAAAAAAGTGGCACAAGAACATACAAACATATATACATGTATAAATATGGCGCATATATACATGTAACCACTTATGTAAGTTTTTAAAAACCACAGAACAACACAGAAGTACAAAAAGATGCTGGGAAGTGATAAATGAAAATGGGAGAGTGAAAAGATGAAAAGGCTTTAATCATATATTACCATTTTATTTCCTCTTTAAAAGAGTTATTTGAATTGAATATAGCAAATATATATGAGTATCTGAAACCTGCACAGTATATAGTTAACTATTGTATCTTTTGTGTGTTTCATAGTAAAATATTTTAAGTACATCTCCAAAAGGAAATTTCCTACTTCGTGTTTCTGTCACCCACGGGCTCAGGGGCTTTCGCGGGCAGAGATGTCATAGGACCATCCCGCACCCTCAGCGTACAGCACCGTGCCGGGGCGCGGCAGAGTGGCTGCTGAGCTAACATGATCCACCACCATCCCACTGGGTCTGATTCCGGATTTTTGTATCCTCGCAGGATTCCCTTCTGGTTCCTTACAGTAGCTGTGTAATTAGCTCACAACACAACCTGCATACTACACAGAATTGAAATTGCTTTCACCCCAACATTACAGGTGATGCTCCAGGAAACCAAGACATTCCTTCAAGAAGGGCAATTACGTCCTTGCTTCCACACATTTCCCTGGGTGCCGGCTGCGTGCCAGGCACGGTGAGGAGGTGGAGCTGCCGCCTTCCTGAAGCTCCAGTCTGGCTTCAGCACTTCCTGAAAATGTGGTTTACCAAAGACCAGGGGCCAGGGAGACGGTGGGGGAGGAAGTGACGGTGGAAGGCCGTTCTAGACTTACACTCTTTGATAAATAAGTAGGTGAGTGTGAGCATGACCGTGTGGCCGCTGTATAGGTAGTCCCCGCACATGTTGTGAGAGCCGGTAATGGACAGGCCACCTCCAGCAATGAGCTTCATTATTCTCCGCAGTTGGGCTTCCCAGTCTCCAAAAAGCTGGCGGGAAAAGAGAAAAGAAGGTTCATTATTAGTCTACTTGAAAGTATACTCCAGGGGCCGGCACTGTGGTGTGGTGGGTAAAGCTTCTGCCTACAGAACCATATGGTGCTGGTTCGAGTCCCAGCTTCTCCACTTCTGATCCAGCTCCCTGCGAATGTGCCTGGGATAGCACTGGAAGATGGCCCAAGTGCTTGGACCCCTGCACCCACATGGGAGACCTGGAAGAAGCTCCTGACTCCTGGTTTCTGACTGGCCCAGCTCTGGCCACTGCAGCCACTGGGGGGTAAACTATAGATAGAAGATCTCTCTCCTCTCTCTCTCAATCTCTCTCTCTTTAATACACTGGCAGAGAAATACTGACTGATTTGGTTTAACTGCCATTTTGAGAAAAGAAAATTTAAATTTCCAGCCTAGGAAAAATTTAGAGATGCATTTTTGCCATGCTTGGCCTAGGATAACTGTTCTACTAACTTAGCTGAAGCCACTGGAGGCTGGGGTAAGTCAAATGTGTCATATTTTTTGGTGATTTTGGGGACCACACTGAACCAAGGGACAGAGCAGGCTGTGCTCTCAGTCTTCAGAAATTATGTGTGCAGCATTGGATGTTTCTCCTTTTACTCAGGGTGAGGAGTCCAGGGAATCATAAATTTACATGTCTATGATCTAAGTCTGGACCAGACACTAGAGTAATAAATGACTTAAAAACTCATTCATTGAGACTTTTATTTGCTCTGTCAAATACAATGTGTGATTGTCTACATGTTCTTTTGTCAGCACTTGGAATTTCTCAGTGGCCAATGTAAACATCATGATCCCTTTTGGACATTTAATTTACAATATTCCAGATCTGGGAAACACACACTTCACTGAATTTCCCTTTAAGGTTTGTTTTTCAAGATTTATTTATTATTCGAGAGACAGAGTTACAGAGGAGGAGAGAGACAGAGACAGAGACAGAGACAGAGAGAAAGAGATTGATCTTCCATCTGGTGGTTCATTTCCCAAACAGCTGCAATGGCTAGAGCTGGGCCAATCTGAAGCCAGGAGCCAGGAGCTTCCTACAGGTTTCCCATGTGGGTGCAGGGGCCCAAGCAGTTGACCAGTATTGGCTGGTGACACATGCATAGGCTTAACCTACTATGCCACAGTGCCGGCCCCTGTAATTTCCTTTTAAAAAAGTTACTGAGATTTCTAGTTACAGAGGCAGGTGGAATACAGAACACAGAGGATATAAATCTCAAACCCAAAGGGGTCACACTGAAGGCGCTGCACAATACAAAAAGATCTACTTAGCAAGACTCAGCATCACCGAGTTTCAGAAACTGGGGACTAAGAAGAGATCCTAGTGTTTCCAGGGATGAAAGAGAAGCTTCATACAAGGGGTGGTTAGAATGAGACTTTCCAAAAGCAACACTGGAGAACAAGACTTTGGAAATATGTGTTCAAATTCCAAGGGAAAGTGATTTCCAAATTAGAATTCTATGCTTATCTGTATCACAACCAAGCACAGACTCAAGGATAAACTAAAGCCTTTTTGTACACGCAGGTCTGAACAACATCTACCACCTGCAGACCATGTCCCAGAAATCACCAAGCATATGTTCTAGGAAGCAAGGGAGCAAACATAGTGACGAAATCAAAGGACAGGCACAGATGCCAGCGAAGGGACAGCTGGGAGCAGGGGAGCAAGTCAGGAGCTCTGGAGGGGACGTCCGGGAGGTGAGACCAGCCCACAACCAGTGCCTCTGACGGGATGGGGAAGAGTCATCACGTGCAGGCAAGTTCATATAAGATGCTACAGCGAGGCAGCTGCCAAATCCACAGGAAACAAAATCCAGCACAGAGAACCAGGAGACGGCACGGCGTGGCTGTGAATAGCACCTACAGAACTGAGTAACGCAAGCCCTGGACTGTGAGCCAAACTAAGGACAGAGAGCTGCACAGAGATGACAAGACGCTTGAAGGCAGGCAGCCACGACGGCAGGAGGGAGGGGGAAGGGAAGGAGAGGGCAGAGGAGGGCAGAAACGCTGTGTCTTGCACAGCAGGACATCAAGAATGGAGACAGCCTATCTTCAAAGGTCCCCAAGCACCGAGCACCAAGTCGCTTAGGGACGTCAGAACACACACACACACACACACACACATGAAACATCTGTAAGCAGAGATAAAGACACGGAGGTAAACACCACAGGATGCAGGTAAAAGGCTGGGAGGGAAGTGAGAAAAGGGGGCCAGGGGTAGAGGACGATTGCTACTCAAAACACGGGGTGAGGAACCATTTTATTTTTGTGATTGCATGCAGCTATAAAATTTTTGAAGTTCCAAATGAAAAGTTTGCCTAGCTCTGCCCTAACGATGGATACTTCACAGGAGACAATGACGGCAAACATGCTTCATCTTCCTCATTGGAGTTATTCTTCCAAAACACCCTCCCTATTTTGGGAGCTATAGATTGTGTTCCTAAGACAGCATTAACCCATAATTCGTCCTCTCATCCTAACAAGAAAATCTGTGTGGGAAAACTGAGCCTGTTGAGGCATGGGATGAGAAACTAAGAAGTCAACATGGCTGAACTCTTTACCTAGTATAGAGTTGGTATTCTATGTACAATCGAAAATGGAGGGGCCGGCACCGTGGCTCACTTGGTTAATCCTCCGCCTGCAGTGCCAGCATCCCATATGGGCGCCGGGTTCCCCTCTTCCAGTGGCCTGGGAGGGCACCGGAGGATGGCCCAATGCTTGGGCCCTGCACCTGCATGGGAGACCAGGAGAAGCACCTGGCTCCTGGCTTCGGATCAGCGCAGCGCCAGGCGTAGCAGCCATTTGGGGGTGAATCAACGGAAGGAAGACATTTCTCTCTCTCTGTCTATAACTCTACCTGTCAAATGAAAGAAAGAAAGAGAGAAAGAGAGAAAGAGAAAGAAAAAGAGAGAAAAAAAGAAAGAAAGAAAGAGAAAGAAAGAGAGAAAGAGAGAAAGAGAGAAAGAGAGAAAGGAAGGAAGGAAGGAAGGAAGGAAGGAAGGAAGGAAGGAAGGAAGGAAGGAAGAAAATGGATCTTAGTGGAGAATGGGACTGGGAGTGGGAGAGGAAGGAGGAGGAGTGTAGGTGGGAGGGCGTGTATGGTGGGAAGAATCTTAAAAAAATAAATAAAATAAAATTTATATTATAATAAAAAAAGAAGTCAGCATGGCATCATGGAAAATACAAAGAAAACAAAACTACATTTCTTGCAGATATTCTTTTTTTTTTTTTTTATTTTTTGACAGGCAGAGTGGACAGTGAGAGAGAGAGACAGAGAGAGAAAGGTCTTCCTTTGCCGTTGGTTCACCCTCCAATGGCCGCCGCTGCAGCCGGCGCACCGCGCTGATCCGATGGCAGGAGCCAGGATCCAGGTGCTTTTCCTGGTCTCCCATGGGGTGCAGGGCCCAAGCACCTGGGCCATCCTCCACTGCACTCCCTGGCCATAGCAGAGAGCTGGCCTAGAAGAGGGGCAACCGGGACAGAATCCGGCGCCCCGACCGGGACTAGAACCCGGTGTGCCGGCGCCGCAAGGTGGAGGATTAGCCTATTGAGCCACGGCGCCGGCCTCTTGCAGATATTCTGAAAACCCCTCTGCTTTTTCTTTTCAAATACAAGTATTGTCTCAATCAGCTCTTAGTAAAGATAAAGCAAACTTCTGCAAGGAAAGCATCTTTAAGCTTAGAGGGGAAACAGGAAAAGAGGGTAGATATTTATAGCTACATTGAAAATTCAAATTATGTTTAAAAAAGCAAGCAAAGTTCAAGAAAAATTACAAAACAGTTGCACCAAGACATGTTAGTATCTTTTTTGTGTATACAGCACATAGATATCAAGTAAAATAAGACCAAGTTAGGGAACAAAATTCAACAAAGGACAAAGGAAGTGACTAGAGAAGGCAAAACCACTGTCAAATACACAGAAATAAAAAATAATGGGGGAAGGGGGCGGTGCTGAGGCCCAGAGGGTGAAAGCTGCGGCCTGCAGTGCAGGCATCCCATATGGGCGGAGGTTTGTGTCCCGACTGCTCCACTTCTGATTCAGCTCCCTGCTAATGCACCTGGGAAAGCAGCAGAAGATGGGCCAAGTCCTTGGGACCCTGCACCCATGTGGGGGACCCAGAAGAAGCTCCTAGTTCCTGGCTTCGGATTGGTTCAGTTCTGGCTGCTGTGGCCGTTTGGGGAGACAGGATGGCAGACCTCTCTCTATTGTCTCTACCTCTCTCTAACTATTTCAAATAAATGAAAAATAATTTTTTATAAAAAAATTACATTTATGAGATAAAGTTTTTAAAAAATAGAACAGAAGCTCATGTTATCACAAATCAGAACTTTATTTATTTATTTTTTTTGTAAAGAGAACTGAGAATGAGGCAGGTGGCATGACAATGATCTCCTCAATCAGGTTCCCCACAGGAGTGGACAGGTGAAAGCAGAGAGGCTCTCCATAGAGCAGTACAGGGAAGAGCAGGCCCTGGAAAGACACCAGAGTTAAGTTCACTGTGGACTGGAGAGAGCCAGACCATCCCAAGCCCTGATTTTCTCACCCACCTCTTGGGATGACAGATTTATCGCCACTGGAAAACAATCCTCTAGGAAAGTCAGCATCTACAGTTCACCAGCAATGCCAACATAACCTCTGTCGCAATTACACTAGAAGCGTATCTCAAATAAATGATAGTGGATATGAAGGAAAGCTTTCCAGACAAACAACACATGACTATGACATTATGTTATAACAACAACAAACTGGAGACAACCAACAGGAACTGCTAAGTAACTACTCCCTGGGTATTCACAGCCTGGTTCCGGGAGAGTATCGGCAAGACAGAAGGCTGCTGTAAACACATCCTTAGCCCTGAGCTACACTTCCTGTCCTAGAATCTGAGGTGGCTCAAGCCCACGTCAAAGGTGGACAGCACTGAACCAGGCTACAATGCTGAAAAAAATCATTAAAGCACACCTTTACGATGACTGTGT